CTATTTGAGTTAAACAATAAAAAAAGAAACCCAATACATTAATACAAAAAACCAAACAATCACTAATAATAAATAGATCCAAAAATTGTACAATTAGTAACAAATACATAAAATACAAAAACTATACAGTTATTTATATAACAGTAAAACGCATAAAAAAATTATACAGCCATAGAAAATACACCAATATACATAAAACTATACAATTTCTAACACACACATATAAAATCCCAGCATCATATAACGAACAAAGATACTTCTTTTTTTAATCAAATATAACCCCATATTTGTTCCCGGACGAGTTTCAGCCACTCCGCGATATTCGACGAACTTGTACGGAACAGCAGGCCAGCAAGCACAAGGAAGAACTTGGCGACACGCGGAGAAATTGCTCCTACTCTTCTAATCTCTCGTTTCCAGGTACAGCGCCGCTCGCCAACGGGCAATATTCTTACAGTATAATCTGCCGCTTCATGTGCGCCACTGAAATTAGTGACAAAAATTATCCCATTCGTGGCTTTTCAATTTAATCAGAGGAAATTGGACAAGAACGACGGGTTGAGCTTCGTTTTGAAATCCCTTGGTGCAATTCACTCTTTAAAAGACAGGCGGAGTATGGCGTAACTGCTAAAATTATAATCAACTGATAGGACTACTAATGATCTCTTTCGCACATCTGAAATGAGCTGCAGATGTGCTGATTTTCCCAAATGCTCAAGTAAGTAGAAAACATCAACCGCTGGAACAATTCATATACGCAAGACATACTTTGCTTACCCCTTTACCCCCAAAAGCCTTGCCAGTCTCAGCTTAGTGTTATCTTGTCTTGTCAGAAGCCTTGCCAGTCCCAGTGTCACTGGCGAGAGCGAGACGAGGGGGCTGGAGAACGGGCTGGAAGCCGTCCGAGAAAGGAGGTTTAGTGACAAAGGAGAAGGGGAGGTGAAGAATCGATCCCCCTCCCCCAGAAGACCGCCCTGGGTCCGCGTATGGGCGGGTGATTCTGATATTTGTTTCATTTTCCAAAGAGACTACACACCTCAACAATTATTCCACGAAAATTCCTGATAAAGCCTTAAGTCTCCCCAGTGAGTGCAAAGTATCACTAACCACATCCGGAAACGTATCCAACAGCAGTTTAAGGAATGACTAGCACGACTGCGAAACAGAGTAGTACCCGGCGC